ACTGACAACTCAAATGAATATATTTTCTACTATGTGTGCTTGTTCATTCTCCAAAATAATAACTTCCTGTGTTCCCCTTTCTGTTCATTTCTACTCATTACACACACACACACACACACACACACAAAACTCACACACATATAAAAAAAGTATTTTCTTCTCGTTGCAATCTTTGCAATTACCAGTGACCTGTCTTCACAACCTACTAGAAGAAATACACAATCAGTTAGGCACAGTATTGATTCACTTTACCTGGATGAACCTAGATTAAGAACTTTGCTCTTAGGTACAGTGATGAATCAAGACAGAGAACATGTTTAATAAAAGCATAATTACATTTTTTTTGTTTACCTGAGGCTTTGCAAAAAGGCAAAATGGTTGTCTAAGAAGCTTACAAATAGCTATGAAGAGAAGAGAAGTAAAAGGCAAGGAGAAAAGGAAAGATATACCCATTTGAATGCAGAGTTTCAAATAATAGCAAGGAGAGATAAGAAAGCCTTCCTCTGTGATCAATGCAAAGAAATAGAGGGAAACAATAGAATGGGAAAGACTAGAGAGCTCTTCAAGAAAATTAGAGATACCAAGGGAACATTTCATGCAAAGATGGGCACAGTAAAGGACAGAAATGGTATGAACCTAACAGAAGCAGAAGATATTAAGAAGAGGTGGCAAGAATACACAGAAGAACTGTACAAAAAAGATCTTCATGACCAAGATAACAATGATGGTGTGATCACTCACTTAGAGACAGACATCCTGGAATTCGAAGTCAAATGGGGCTTAGGAAGCAGCACTACGAACAAAGCTAGTGGAGGTGGTGGAATTACAGTTGAGCTATTTCAAACCTTAAAAGATGATGCTGTGAAAGTGCTGCACTGAATATGCCAGCAAATTTGGAAAACTCAGCAGTGGCCACAGGACTGGAAAAGATCAGTTTTCATTCCAATCCCAAAGAAAGGCAATGCCAAAGAATGCTCAAACTACCGCACAATTGCACTCATCTCACACGCTAGTAAAGTAATGCTCAAAATTCTCCAAGCCAGGCTTCAGCAATACGTGAACCGTGAACTTCCAGATGTTCAAGCTGGTTTTAGAAAAGGCAGAGGAACCAGAGATCAAATTGCCAACATCCGCTGGATCATCGAAAAAGCAAGAGAGTTCCAGAAAAACATCTATTTCTGCTTTATTGACTATGCCAAAGCCTTTGACTGTGTGGATCACAATAAACTGTGGAAAATTCTGAAAGAGATGGGAATACCAGACCACCTGACCTGCCTCTTGAGAAACCTGTATGCAGGTCAGGAAGCAACAGTTAGAACTGGACATGGAACAACAGACTGGTTCCAAATAGGAAAAGGAGTACGTCAAGGCTGTATATTGTCACCCTGCTTATTTAACTTATATGCAGAGTACATCATGAGAAACGCTGGGCTGGAAGAAGCACAAGCTGGAATCAAGATTGCCGGGAGAAATATCAATAACCTCAGATATGCAGATGACACCACCCTTATGGCAGAAAGTGAAGAAGAACTAAAGAGCCTCTTGATGAAAGTGAAAGAGGAGAGTGAAAAAGTTGGCTTAAAGCTCAACATTCAGAAAACTAAGATCATGGCATCTGGTCCCATCACTTCATGGGAAATAGATGGGGAAACAGTGGAAACAGTGTCAGACTTTATTTTTGGGGGCTCCAAAATCACTGCAGATGGTGACTGCAGCCATGAAATTAAAAGACGCTTACTCCTTGGAAGGAAAGTTATGACCAACCTAGACAGCATATTAAAAAGCAGAGACATTACTTTGCCAACAAAGGTCCATCTAGTCAAAGCTATGGTTTTTCCAGTGGTCATGGATGGATGTGAGAGTTGGACTATAAAGAAAGCTGAGCACAGAAGAATTGATGCTTTTGAACTGTGGTGTTGGAGAAGACTCTTGAGAGTCCCTTGGACAGCAAGGAGATCCAACCAGTCCATCCTAAAGGAAATCGGTCCTGAATGTTCACTGGAAGGACTGATGCTGAAGCTGAAACTCCAGTACTTTGGCCACCTGATACAAAGAACTGACTCATTTGAAAAGACCCTGATGCTGGACAAGATTGAAAGGAGGAGGAGTAGGGGATGACTGAGGATGAGATGGTTGGATGGCATCACCAACTCAATGGACATGAGTTTGAATAAACTCCAGGAGTTGGTGATGAACAAGGAGGCCTGGCCTGCTGCAGTCCATGGGGTCGCGAAAAGTCGGACACGACTGAGCGACTGAACTGAACTGAACTGTGCTCCTATGTGGTTGAATAAAAAGAAATCCAGCATTATCTGAAAGATCAGTGGCAACTAAAGACGACCCTTATGTCCTTAAAGGTCTGTTCTTGAATCAATCTCTTTGATATTTTATCGATGAAGGTACATAGATGCTAAGAAGTTGGAGAATAAACCTAATACGTTGGATAAAAAAATGCTGAAAAGATTTAATTTGCCAAAACAATGGGCTGAGACAAATAAGATAAAATTTAATAAGGATAAATATAAAATCCTTCATTTATCCTTAAAAACAAATCTGTGATATAAAGCAGGATGGACAGCACTGAATTAACAGAAATAAATCCACGGACTAGGGGGTTCCCAGATGGCTCAGTGGTAAGGAATCCACCTGCCAATACAGGGGACACAGGTTCAATTCCTGGGTTGGGGAGATCCCTTGGAGGAGGACAGCAACCCACTCCAGTACTCTTGCCTGAAGAATCCCATGGACAGAGGAGCCTGGCAGGCTGCAGTCCATAGAGGCTGCAGGGTCAGACACGACTGAGCATACATATGCATGCACACATGCAACTGCACAGAGCAGTCTTTCATTAACAAAGAAATACATTAATCACACAAAAATTTATATTCATCACAAAGAAAACAATAGACCAACCATCCTAGGCACAGACTAGACTTCAGCTGAAAAACTAGATTTAATTCTGGGGACTTTATTTCAAGAGAGAGTTATAATGACTACAGTACACCAGATGAAGGGGAGATGGGGTAATGAAGAATGAAGAGAAGTGAAGTGAAAGTCGCTCAATCAGACTATACAGCCCATGGGATTCTCCAGGCCAGAATATTGGAATGGGTAGCCTTTCCCTTCCCCAGGGGCTTGTCCCAACCTAGGGATCTAACCCAGGTCTCCCACATTGCAGGCAGATTCTTCACCAGCTGAGCCACAAGGGGAGCCCAAGAGTACTGGAGTGGGTAGCCTGTCCCTTCTCCAGCGAATCTTCCCGACCCAGGAATTGAACTGGGTTCTCCTGCATTGCAGGCAGATTCTTTACCAACTGAGCTATCAGGGAAGCCCATGGAGACATTTATTAAACACCTCTCTGAGAGCTATATGGATGGATCCTGCACTGACTGAAGGGCAAGTCCATGGCTGTCTGGCATATCGAAGTCTGGAGTCCTTCATAAGCAAGCTCAAATCACAGCTTTGTCAGTGATGCACCTTTTAAACTTGAGTGAATTCCTCCCATCTCCAAACCTCAGTAACTTCTCTTACCAAAAAAATAAAAATTATGAGATAATCTTATTAACAACTGCCTCACTAAAATGTATGAACACCAAATGAGATAATCCATTTAAAGCAATTACCAGGGGCTTGTCCCAACCTAGGGATCTAACCCAGGTCTCCCACATTGCAGGCAGATTCTTCACCAGCTGAGCCACAAGGGGAGCCCATGGAGACATTTATTAAACACCTCTCTGAGAGCTATATGGATGGATCTTGCACTGACTGAAGGGCAAATCCATGGCTGTCTGGCATATCGAAGTCTGGAGTCCTTCATAAGCAAGCTCAAATCACAGCTTTGTCAGTGATGCACTTTTTAAACTTGAGTGAATTCCTCCCATCTCCAAACCTCAGTAACTTCTCTTACCAAAAAATAAAAATTATGAGATAATCTTATTAACAACTGCCTCACAAAAATGTATGAACACCAAATGAGATAAATCCATTTAAAGCAATTTACCCATTCCTGTGAGCATGCTAAGTTGCTTCAGTTGTGTCTGACTCTCAGCGACCCTATGGACCATAGCCCACCAGGCTCTTGTGTCCACGGAATTCTCCAGGTAAGAATACTGGAGTGGGTTTCCATGCCTTCCTTCAGAGAATCTTTCAAACCCAGGGATGGAACCTGCATCTTTTTATGTCTCCTGCACTGGCAGGCAGGTTCTTTACCACTAATACCACCTGGGAAGCCCTTGCCCGTTCCTAGTAATAAATGTTAAATAAACATTTGTTCTTGGGCAAGGGAAGAGCTGGTAGAACTGATAGGAGAATAGAGTCCAAAGTTGGTGCTTTCAAAGTTCAGTTGCTTTTTATGTTCAGAAAATTTTGCTCTATTTTATCAGTTAATTTGGGAGAGTTTCTGTTGTTGTCGGTTTTTCTTTTGTATGTCTTTATTAAATGTGCTACAATATTGCTTCTGTTGTTTATGTTCTGGTTTTTTGGCCACTACACTTGTGGGATCTTAGTTCCCTGACCAGGGATTGAACCCCTGCATTGGAAGAAGAAGCCCTAACCACAGGACTGCCAGGGAAGGCCTTATTCTTTTTCTCTAATGCAGATGATCTGGTCCTAGTTAGGGTGAAAGCTGAAAAGAACAGTGTGTTGCTGAGCCAAAGAGCAGAGGTAGAGAAACATCTGAAGGCATCAGGTGTAGGGTACAGAGAACCACGAAGCGGCGACAAACACATGGGGTGGGGTGGGGCGGACATCGTCAAGCACTGCTTGGTTTTTCTGTCCCCCAGGGCCTCTTATGGAAACTTCTGCTTCCATCTGGAGGACATGGTTTTGTCTTTATGAGCGTGGGGTGTCCTTACCTGCCTCACGACGGGCACTGCATCGTGAGCTTGGGGACAGAACGTGACATCTGCGGGAGAAACTCAAAGTGGCCCTTTGACCTGAGACCCGGCCAAGCCAAGAGCCTTTCAGTATGACCGCTCCAGGATCACGCCGCAGTAACTTACCGAGGCAACAAATACGGAGCTTCTGTCATCAACCCTCCGGAGCTGGGTCACAACCAGGGGCCTCCTGCGCTATGCCTGCTCTCGCCAATGGAATGAGACTGAGTTCGGTTCCAAAGGCAAGGAAAGCGTTCTTCTCGTATCAAACAGTGAAGACGCGTGAGCTTCCGCTCCAGGGCACGTGTTCTAGCCGCCCGCCACGGCAGTTGCTTTGTCTATGGCGCCCTCTGCCGCCCGCGGGGGAGGGGTAGTTTTGCAGAGGCGCGCAGGCGCAGCTGTGCCGCTCAAGCTCCTGTCAGGAGGCGGCGCAGCCTCTCTGCACCCCGCCCGCCGCCGCCATCTTGGGTGGAGTGCTGTGCGCAGTGTCTGTACAGGAGCCCTAGCTGAGGCCACCGTGCAGCTGTTTGGAACCAGGAACGCCGGTCAGAAGGGCCAGGGCTTGAGACCTCTACTCGCGGCACCCTGTGAGGCAGTGAAAGCAGACTCAGCATAAAAGAAGAGGAAAAAATGATTAGACTTTATTTTGTTGTTGTTGTTCAGCCAGTAAGTCGTGTCTGACTTTTTGCGATCCCGTGAACTACAGCACCCAAGGTTCCCAGGCTCCTTTCACTACTTCCCAGAGTTTGTGCAAATTCACGTCCATTGAGTCGGTGATGCCTCTAACCATCTCATCCTCAGCCGCCCCCTTTTCCTGCCCTCAGTCTTTCCCAGCATCAGGGTCTTTTTCCAGTTAGTCGGCTCTTTGCATCAGATGGCCAAAGTGTTGAACCTTCTGCTTCAGCATCCGTCCTCCAATAAATATTCAGGTTGATTTCCTTTAGGATTGACTGGTTTGATCTCCTTGCAATCCAGAGAACTCTCAAGAGTATTTTCCAACACCACAGCTCAAAAGCATCAATTCTTCCCCACTCAGCCTTCTTTATAAACACTTTTCTTTTGTTAGNGCCAGGCCTCCCTGTCCATCCCCAATTCCTGGAGTTTACTCAAGCTCATGTCCCTTGAGTCAGTGATGCCATTCAACCATCTCATCCTCTGTCATCCCCTTCTCCTCCTGCCCTCAATCTTTCCCAGCATCGGGGTCTTTTCCAATGAGTCAGCTCTTCGCATCAGTGGCTAAAGTATTAGAGTTTCTCATGCTCTTTTTAGACTTGCCCTGTGGGAGAAAGAGAAGTGCTAGTCACTCCTTCAGGAAGAGCCCAGCCTGCAAAGCTACCTGTCACCTGTCTCTGGTCCCCAGGACCTCCTCCCAAGGACTGCTGGGCGCGTTTCCACTCTCCCCTGTGTCTTCAGACTCCTGCTGTCTGTTTCAAAAGTGCCTTTCCTGCCTTCTTCTGCCTCCGGCCCACATCACTCAAACCATTCTGTCCTTCAGAATCAAGCTTCTCCAAAGAGTGGTCTTCACAGTGCAGTAGATGCAGTAGCATGGACTGTGTAGTGTTTTTCAGGTGGATGATGATACACATTTATCACTGTGTTTCATGCTTGAAAAAGATGAATTGTGAAGTGGACTACTGGGTTCATGAGTTACCTAAAATGCTTTCTTTTTTTTTTAATATTTAAATATTTATTCATTTGTTTGTGCCTGGTCTTAGTTGCGGCAGGTGGGATCTTTTTTTTTTTCCCCAAGTTGTGCTATTTCTGCACATGGGATTTAGTTCCCCGACCAGCGATAGAACTTGGGCCCCCATATATTTTGAGCACAGAGTCTTAGCCACTGGACCACCAGGGGAGTCCTCCTGATGTGCTTTTGAAAGTATCAAATAAGGCAAAAGAAACAAAGAGTGGTCCCTTGAGTTGCTGTTGTTTTGTTGCCTGGTCCTTTATAGTAGGTATTTATTGGGGAGGGCAGAGGGCGGGGAAATAGTGTATATATCGGCCCTTGCAGTTCACATCTATGTTGTTCAAGGGTCACCTGTATGTAAAATGTGTGGTATATGTTGCTTTTTGATAACTGGATAGAGTCTGAGACTCAGAGATCTCAAAAGATGTAGTCAGGACGGCATAGAAAGGGAAGAGACTTTACAAGAATAAACATGTGGACCTGGCTTGAGAGGAGGCCTCAGCCTCTTCAGGGGTCTTATCCCCAAAGCAGGCTGGAGTCAGCCTTTTCCGCACCATGATAAAACAACCATGTCTTAGTTTATTAAAAAGTCAACTGAGTGCCTGCAAAGGGCACCCTGACTCTTCTCTCCAGATAGACAACCCAGTGTGGAATGGAAGCAGGAGATTGTCTCTTCCTTTCCTCCTGCTCCTACCTTAAGCTCAGAACAAACGATCAGTTTTCAGTTTTTCTTTCCTGCCCAACCCCTCCAATCTCCAGATTGAAATCAGTGGGAGAAGGTGCATGCATCAGGTCATTTCACAGGGAGAGAAGCAGGCAGGAGAGAACATGGGGGGAAATGCTTCTTTTAACTCAGAATGCTGGTCTAGTCTCTAGCTTTCCTACCAGAGGCCTCTCCTCCTGTCTTGTGAGGCCTGAGAAGGACTGAGGACTGAGAGGCAGGGTAGGAGGAAAACGGAATCTTCATTTGCACAGTTCCAGAAGTCCATCCTGAGGGTCCACTCAGTCAGTGGCCTGTCTCCAGGGCCTGCTCCTCTCCTTTCACCAGGTAATTCCCACCCTCTCCAGGGGCCACCCCAGGCTGCGCTGTGCTGCTCTGCCTGAGTGTGGGCTTAGACACACTTGATCAACTAACACTTGATGGCAATTAATGGAAGACTTGGCGAAATAGCACAATTTGAAGTGGAAACAAGATGAATGTCTTGGCCCATTTGGGCAGTTACAACAGAACACCACAAACTGAGTGACTTCGAATTTCTCACAGTTCTGGAGTCTGGGAATCCTAGATCACGGTATCTGGTTAGAGCCCACTGCCTGGTTTGCAGATGGCTGTCAGAGACACACAAACATTCATTCTGTAGCTATGAGTCTTTTTCTCAGTGTCTGCATGTTCCAGACCCTCCAAATGGGTCCTTGTAGTTACATCTTTTCTCTGACCCTGGCATGATGCTAAATCTTGCCCCTTACATGGGCAGTGGGCATCTCCTTGAAAAATGTCCCTCCTGCATAGTGTCTAGTTTCTGACATGCAGAAATGGACAAAGACTTCCTGATAGATATAAGTTGAATAAATGGAGAGATGGGCTGTGTTCTCAGGTGGGAATACTGAATCTTTTAAAGATAATGACCCTATTATTTTAAAGGGTTAACATAATTACAATTTTAAAATCCCAGCAGATTTTTGGAACTTTATAAATTGATTTGACTGCAAAATATTGAAAAAATAGGCAAAAATTGCTTGAAAAAGATGAATTATGAAGTGAACTACTGAGTTTCAAAATTCCTTTTAGAGAAAGCTAGTGATGATGAGGATGATAAACTATCATTTGTTGAGAGCTTGTGATGTGCTGGGCATTATGCTAACCACTTTGTGCACATTATTTTCTCTCTGTTCTAACTGTAGTGCTGTGAAATAGGCACTGTTATTACCCATATTTTACAGAAGTGACAGAATTAAAGTGGTTGTTCAAGATCAGTAACTTGTTCAGGATCAAACAGCTAATCCGGGTCTGCCTGATTCCTAGGCTTATCACCTCACTCCTCTTCACCGACATGGAACCCACATGCTTCTGATGAAATAGCAGGCAGATGGAGCAATAGAATAAAACAGAGTGCTCAGGGTAATTTTCTTAAAAACTATGAAGTTAAAAATTATGAAATAAGACACAAGGAAAAGGTCTATGAAAGTAACCATGCAAAAATTTAAGCCTATATTGTTACAAAGACATACACATAGTATACATACAAGTGAAGGCTTGAAAAACCAAAATGGAAGCAAATATAACAAAGAGTTGGAATGGGGTCAAAGTTACTTGCAGTCCACAGCTGGAAAAGAAAAGCAAGTGCAAGCAGAAGGGAGTCAAGGGTGAAAGAAAGTTCGGAAACACTTGGAGTCAATTTCTAACTCAGTATCAGCTTCCCTTTTGACCTATGTGGCTGAACACATCAAAGATAAACCAGATGTGTGAGAAGTCATACTAAAACAGTAGCCACTCATTTTTACCCACTAAACTATCTCCCCTTCTAGAGTTCCACAGCCCCAACCCAGAACAGAAGAGTGACCCCCAAAGGATTGCCATCCTCAACGTCTGAATGTGCTCAGTCACTCAGTCATGTCTAACTCTTTGTGACCCTATGGATTATAGCTCGCCAGACTCTTCTGTCCATGGGATTTCCCAGGCAAAAATTCTGGAGTGGGTTGCCATTTCCTTCTCCAAGGAGTCTTCCCAACCCAGGGAGTGAACTGGAGTCCCCTGCATTTGGAAAAAATTATCCTTTAACTTTGTCACTTATTATTATTATGTATAATATATTTATATTATTATTGTCACTTATTCTTTAACAAGTTATTATTATTTGTCCTTTGACAGACTATGGNAAAAATTATCCTTTAACTTTGTCACTTATTATTATTATGTATAATATTTTTATATTATTATTGTCACTTATTCTTTAACAAGTTATTATTATTTGTCCTTTGACAGACTATGGTATATTTATCCAGTGATTTTCCTTTATTCAACTTAAGGAGAAGTTGTGTGTTTGTTCAGTATCAGGATCTGAAGAGGGTTTTGTTTTGTTTTTGAGACTGTGTTTTTGAAACTGAAGTGTTGCTCTGCGTGGTGAGGCCTGAGCCCCAGCATGGACTGGGGATGGAGCAGGCTGTTAGTCTGCTGTGCAAGCTGTTAGTCCAGGAGGACAGGTCTGACTTGACCCAGCCACCCTCCAGAGGTGTAATGACGTGGGTGGAAGGGGGGTAGTGGGGAGCCATCCCTGCTGGGCTCCAGTGGTTGGCTTTTGCTACTGTCCAGGGTGTAGCTAGGGCAGCCTGACCACTGTCAGCATAACCCCGCTATCAGCATCTCTTAAGCGGGTATCACCTCTGCACCCCACGGGCTGATTGATGGCCGGCCTTCTCTCTTCTGGTGTCTGGGGTTTCCCAGGGCTCATTGGGTATCCTGTGCACCCATTTCCTGGGTGAGGTCTCTCCACTGCTTGTGTTGAAATGGGGGCAGTTTGCTCGAATACAGCTATACAGTCTAAAAATGACAAAGTATTTTCCACTTGTTCACAGTGACATCCCTAATTTTTCAGGGCTGATAGAGGAGTTCCTTTTTAAAAAATAATAATTATTTGCCAGTTT